ATAGAGGCCAGGGGGTGAGGGGCAGCTATTGTAGACAGTCCTGATGAGGGAGGGAGGGAGGGAGGGAGCCACAGGAAGTCACGGAGGAGCTAAGAGAGCTCCGGGCACAGCATGGCAGCATGAGTGTCCTGGGGCTGCTGTAACAAAGTGCCACAGCTAGGTGGTTTTAAAAAAACAGAACTGTATTCTTTCACAGTTCCGGAGACCGGAAGTCTGAAATGGAGGTGTCAGCAGGGCCGCACTTCCTCTGAAGGCTCTGGGGTCAAGGACCCTTCTTCGTCTCTTCAGCTCTTGGTGTTGCCAGCGCTCCTTGCTTGTGGACTCATCGCTGCAGCCTCTGCTTCTGTCTGCGCGTGGCTTCTCCCCTGCGCGTTTGTGTCTCTGCATCTTCACATGACTTGCTCTCTGTCTGTGTACAGATTTCCCTCTTGTAAGGACAGCAGTCATGCGTTAAGGCCCACACTAATCCAGTGTGACCTCGTCTGAACTCAGTTACATCTACAAAGACGCTATTTCCAAATAAGGTTTCATTCCGGGTGGGCGTGGATTTTGGGAGACTTATTGGGGAGACATTTGCAGTGGTAAAGCCACATGCAAAAAACCTGACAGATCCAAAGTCAGGGCTGCCTTCAGGTCTGGTTTGATCAGGCCTCTGCCTTCTCGACTCGCTTGCCTGTCCCCTTCTCCGTGGGCTTCATCTTGGGGCTGACTTCCCTCTTGGTAGAGATAGGGCTGCAACTGGTCCAGTCCTCATAGCCACACACAGCTCTATCCAGGAACAGAGAGAGAGGCGGGGAGGCTCTTCCCCCATGTATCACAGAGAGTTCCCAAGCTTGACTCTCATTGAGCCTCTTTGGGCCAGATAGCCTGGGAAATGGCAGGCACTGGTTGCCTGAAGCCTGGCGGGCCGTCCAGGAGCTGGAGCTGGTCCCTCCTAACCCCTGACCTGGGGGTGGGGAGAAGGATGCTTTGGGCCAGGCCTGGGTGGGGAGAAGCAATGCTCAGAGTTTCTTCGCTCTTTCCTCTCAGGTGTAAAGGTGCCATCCTTCACCCTTGCAATGCAACAAGGGATACAGTTTGTGCCACAGACACTAACCAAGAGCCAGGTAAGAGGCTGATTCCATCTCTTCAGTATGGGTCAGGAAACCTCTTCCATAAAGGTAACTAGTTTAGGCTTTGCAGGCCCTGTGGTTTCTGTCATCACTACTCACTGATCAGCGGGAGAGCCCTTTAGGGCCCAGAGAGTCGCCACCACCGCCATCGCTGCCAGGAGCGGAGACTTTCTGTATGTAGCATGTCACTCAGTCAGATGAGGAAAGTGTGCTGACCCCTGCTACAGCATTCTCTCTCTTGCCTCCTTCCAGGAAACTCAAACTGGTATTGGTTCTTCATTGTGGGCGTCGTCATCGTCATCCCCGTTTACTACTTGAAGAAAAAAGGTAAATTAGAGTTAGGTCAGTCCTGGAGAAAAATAGATCAGCAGCCACCTCAGGATCTCCGAAATGGGACGTGGTGTTCTCAGGTTCTGGACGGGGGTTTTCACTTAAAACAGCTCTGCACTTTCTAACTCAAGTGGCCTCTCGGGCGCTTGAGCTCAGAGCTCTGGGGCGGGGAGCCGGCTGCTGCGCACTCCCTGACACACGGGTCTTAAGACCTGAATCTCAGCTCAGCTGGCTGGAGACTGGCTGTCCAGGGTGCCCTCGGCTGGGGAGTGGGGAGACTTCGGCCAGGGCATGTTCTGGAGGGAGGGGTTCCGGCTGGGCCCCGGGGGCTGGTGAGTGCGCTGTGTAAGTTCACCTGCTGTGTCTTCCAGGGGTACAGATTTTGCCGTGGTTTGTCAGCGTCTTGAAGCGTAAGTCCACTGTCTTTGTTGTGAGTTGAAGGCACTTCATCTCCCCCATAGAAGTCATTGTCCTGGTTAATATCAATTATTTTCTTTCTGTCTTTTTTTTGATTTTCAGAAGAGTCAAATGAGCCAGGCAGCCCTGTAAGTACCACCCTGGGATTTGCCTAATGGGAGTTTCAGTCCTCGATGGCAGCCAAGTCCCAGGAGACATCCCAGGGGCGGGCGCAAGGCAGCCCCAGGCCTTTCCACCTGCATCCACAGCCTAGCCACGTGGTGGCGTCTGCCTCCACCTTGTTGGAGCCCCAGAATGTGCTGGAAGATAATTTAAATTCTGTTGGTCTAGACCACTGAATGGAAACTGAGGAACACATGGGCAAAGGGCTTTGTCTGGGTTTCCTGGGGCTGCCGAAACATTTTCACAGACCAGGTGGCTTAAAACAATAGGAACTTATTGTCTCCCGGTTCTGGAGGCCAGAAGTCCGAAATGAAGGTGTCAGTGGGGTCGGCTCCCTCAGGCTCTGGGGGAGGGTCCTTCCTGCCTCTCTCCTTGCATCTTCTGGTGGTTGCCAGCAAGCCGCAGCATTCTTTGGCTTGTAGGTGCATCACTCCAATCTCTACTACCCCCGTCTTCACGTGGTGCTCTCCCCGTGCGTCTCTGTGTCTTGAGTCAATATCCTTGTAAGGACACTAGTCATTGGATTTAGGGCCCACTCTAAGCCAGTATTACCTCATCTGCAAAAACCCTGTTTCCAAGTAAGGTCCCATTCCCGGGTCCCGGGGGTTAGGGATGTGTCTCTTTGGGGGCCACTCTTCAACCCACAGCAGTCTTGTCTTGGCATCCCCCAGGGAGTTGGTGGCAGAGCAGGACCTGACCCCACACAGTATTCTCTAAAATTGCGCAGCTCTGGCTTCCCTATCAGACACTTGGCGTTTTTTCCTCTAAAAGAGGCTTGGGAAGAGCCCGTGTTGCAGGTTCCTCTCGCCAAAACAATGACTTTTGTCCTTTAGTCACCTGAACGCAGCCAGCCTAACGACATGTTACTGATGGACCCTGAAAGGGACCGGCCAGCCCCTGGTGTGGAAACAACACAGGAGTTGGAGGAAGAAAGGTTAGCCTTGGCGCCTGGGGCCGGGACCTGCCCAGGGCCCTCTGGGCACCCCGAGGAAGGCATTGAGCTGCAGGTGGTGGTGGCCACAGCCGCCCCAGAGCAGGAGCTACAAAGTCATGTTCCTGGTGCCTGCGGGCTCCAGGGCCAGGCCGAGACTGCACCCTCCCTCCGTAGTCTGGAGCAGGTGAGTGAGACATTGGTTGGGTCTGAATCATAACAAAGCCTGTGCTTACTGAGCCCTTACTGTGTGCAGGGCTCTGTGTTAAGTGCCAGCGTGCATGCTCTTATAAAATTCTTGTGTGGGTTTCCTGGGCTTGCTGCAACAGAGTACATAGCAGAGACTGGGCACCTTAAACAGTAGGAATTTATTGTCTCCCGGTGCTGGAGGCCAGAAGTCCGAGATCAAGGTGTGGGCGGGCTGGTTCCTTCTGTGCTGTGAGGGAGAAGCTGCTCCGGGCCTCCCTCCTGGCTTTGCTGGTTTCTGGCAATCTGTGGGGTTCCTTGGCTCGTAGGAGCATCATCCCCCTCTCTGCCTCCATCTTCACGTGACGTTCTCCTGCTGCACGAGTCTGAGTCCAAATTTTCCCTTTCTATGAGGACACCAGCCATATTGGATTAGGGCCGCCCTAATGACCTCATCTTAACTTGACCAGCTGCAATGACCCTATTTCCGTATAAGGTCACATTTATAGGTAGTGGAGGTTAGGACTTCCACATCTTTGGAGGAACATAAACCAACCCATAACAGTCCCCAACCCAACCTGCTGTCCAAGGGGGCGCTCAGGCTCAGTGTCCATCCCATGACTGGAATGCAGCAGGACCCAGGAGGCCCAGCCCGCCGTCGTAGACACCACCACCTCCTGAGTGCGTACTCGTCTCTGGGGTCAGTGCAGCAGACCTCAGCCGAGCGCCTCCTGTGTGGCAGGCGTGGCATGCGCAGAAGGCAGGGTTGCAGGGACCAGGGAGGGAGTAGGGGAGCACACGCCCATCCACCAGGTGGACCGTGCAGGATGGCAGCAGGTGCCGTGTCCAGCTGTGCACGGAGAGTGACAGTCTCTGTTCTCTGTTGTGGGGCTTCAGGGGGGCTGTCCCGAGGCAGTGACACCTGAATAAGATTTGGCAAACTGAGCAGACACCTACTAAGTGGCCCTGGGGAGGAAGGCCCCTCAGGAAGAGGGAACTGTGTGCTGCCTCTCAGAGGGGCACGGAGCCAGTGTTTGGGGAATGATGAGGACCCCCTGTTTCTGGATCGTGCAGGCAGGGCACAGGTCAGGAGTTGAGGGGGAAGGTGCCAGGGAGGAGATCATGGGGCTCCTGTGCCAGAGGTCATGGACCCTGGGGCACCCTGGCACGGGCATGGAGGTTGAGAACTCTGGAGAGAGTGGGTCATGTGCCCTAATGTATCATTTCAAGGAGATGGTCTGTGACTTGTCTGATTGTCCAAAGAGTCTGAGAAAATAAAATGCAAAAGTAAGGACTTTGTGCCCATGTCAGCGAGAGGCACTGGGGGTCAGGCAGGGTGCTGGGGGCCCTGGGTCTTCCTCTGGGGCTGTGCTAGGAGAGTGCAGCCCTCCTCACCCAGTTCTATGTCTGAGCAGCTGTGGGATAGAGGGCGAGGCACGGGCCGGGCCTGCAGCGGACAAGAGGCAGAGCTGGGTTGAACCTTGCGATCAGGCTCCAGGCCTTATGCCCACAGCAGGCGGCTTGATACTAAAGAGAGCACCTAACCTCGTCCTCGGGAGAAGCGGGGTGGAGCCGTCTCTAGTAGCAGCTCCTTAAAAGGTATCCAGAGTCCGCTGGTACATGCTCAGATTTCCATGAACGAGGAAACGGCATTCAAGTCACTGATATTCCTTCACAGTGCATTTCTGCGGACAGGTGTCCTCTCCATTAGTATTGTCAAGAGTAGAACAGGTCACCCCAGGTGACAGCATTCAACTGTTACCTGCCCCCCCTATGGTGGGGGGTCTGGGAAAGAGTCGGGGGCACACTCAGAGCAGCTGGGCCCAGGACCCCCGCCCACCCAAGCAGGGGCAGCTGTGACAACAGTGTTACCCCCGGGCCCAAGCAGTGTCCTGGGGAGCGTGACCTAGAGGGCACAGCTGGGCTGTGAGCTCTCTGCCACCTGTCTTGAGGCAGTGGGCCAACTCTGCTGTCCAACTCGTGGGTCTTCTGAGGTTCATGGAGGCCCACTTGCTCCCACCCTACTGTTCCTACCAGAAACCAGTTTCTGGTTCTATTTGAGTACAATTCCTCGAAGAGGCCACACAGATTTCTTCTCCTGGAACAATTTTATTCTCTTCTCTCTGCAGGAATATAAACAAAAATATTTTTTAAAAGACACGTCCTCTGACTGTAAGTGATCCAAATTCTTCCCTTATAATGACTGTTCAGCTTAAGTCTTGTTTGGCGTGAATGTCAAGGCCTAATGTCCTTATTTCTGAGATGGGGGAACACCTGCCTCCTCGAAGCTATAGGGAACTTTCCTGTAGATTTGAAATGTACTTTTTCACACTCACTGATGACAGAAAAGACATTTGTCAAATATAAGTTTTGTGGGGTTCTTACAGACTGAATGTTGCTTTTATTTTATAAAACTTCATGTTTTTAAGAAAAAACATGAGTGAGTGTTAGGAGTACTTGCATAACCTAGATTGCTAGGTCCCCTAGCAATGGCTGTGATGCTGTGTTTTTAGTGGTACAAGAGTGAGTATTTATTGAGCACGTGCTGCATATCACCTGCTTTTTATTTTTAATTTTTTTTTGTGAGGAAGATCGGCCTGAGCTAACATCTGCCAATCCTCCTCTTTTTGCTGAGGAAGACTGGCCCTGGGCTAACATCTGTGCCCATCTTCTTCCACTTTATATGGGACACTGCCACAGCATGGCCTGACAAGTGGTGCATCAGTGCGTGCCCGGGATCCGAACGGGCGAACCCCGGGCCGCCGCAGCGGAGCGCGCGCACTTAACCGCTTGCGCCACCGGGCCAGCTCCCTCAGCTGCTTTTTATAATCTCATCCTGACCAATAGCTCTGCGAGACCACCCCATTTTACGGGCTTAAAAGCAACACAGTCCAAAGCTCAGAGAGGTTACAGAACTTGCCCCAGGTCTCAGACCCTAAACACCGCCCCCCCCCGGCTGATGCCAGGTGGCCTTTTCAGTGCCAACCACCTTACTGCCTCTCTCCCCGTGTCGTGGGATGGGAGAGGAAGGGCAGGGGGATCCTCAGCAGATTCTTTATCTCCACGGGGACTTCCGACTCTCTCGGGATCCTGGGTTCCTTCTGCCCGGCTCATTGGCTCCAGGAATGAATAAGCAACAGGTGCAATGAGAGCCACGCAGGTCATGGCCCGACCTCGGTCTCCTGGCCTCTGGGCCTGGTCCCTTCTGTGGGATCAGCTGGAGTAGCACAGGGCCTCCCAAGCCCTGGGCCATGGTGTGCCGGCTGGTGCCCAGCCCTCGGGGAAGGTGGAGACACCTCTGCGCCTGCACCCCTAGGGAGCAGAGTTACGGTGGATGCTACACCTACCTTCCAGAAATGTAAACAAACTCTTTTTATATTTTTCAGTCTCCAGTTTGACCTATCTTGCATTCGAACGTGAGGTTCCACCAAATGATTGGAAGATGTTTATGAGATTGATTGGACTTGAAGAAAATGACATTGAGATTTGCAAATACGAGAATCCTGGAAATCTGATGGAAGGACGTCATAAGATGCTCCTCACGTGGAGAAACAAGTTAGGCAGGGAAGCTTCTATTTTTAGACTCTTGGCTGCCCTCTACACATTGGGGTTACGTGAATGTTTGCAAAATATTATAAACAGATTGGTTGCTGAAAATATTTTAGGTAGGCATGCAGACACCCCAAATTAGAGTACACTCTTGGCACAGGATCTTGACTTTAAGCAGTGTCGTGAATGGATAGGATCTGAGCGTCCTACCCAGTTCTGATCCCATCGGAAATTTCATGAATCCTAGATGGGGCTGTGCCCCTTATCTAAATAGATTCTCTATAACGCTTTCAATGGGGAGGTGAGTTCCACATGGAAGCAAGAGTGCTTCCCTCCCAGGGCAAGGGAGTCCGGGGAGCTGCCTGTGGCTGGTGTGGCAGAGATGGGCTGCTGCTAAGTGGATTTCAGGGGGCTGCGAGCTTGTCTGCCAGGGACCACTTAATGTGCTGAGTAGGTTCACATTCCTTAGAACCCCTTCCCAGGCACTGAGGACAGGAGGCTTTGGTGGTTGTCTTGCTGCCTTCACCAACTCCTTGATCTCAGAGTCACTGTGATATCCCCCTGACCTAGATCAGGGTGTGGCTTTAACCACATGCTCCATAAGTATGTGTGAGCAAATCAGTGACAAGCCACTCCCTGCCAGCTGCTCTGAGCAGTCCCTCAGCACTAGTCTGTATGTGGCGCTGGAATCAGACCATCACTCGGGTCTTCTTCCTGGTGATGCGACTGGATTGAGACTAGACCCCACCTTTCTAAACCAGTATTAGCTGGGCTGGGGATGGTGACAGCCACAGAACTTTTTTAAGTGCCTGGACTTTTTAAATTATTGATGCCAAATATTTTTTACCAAAAGATTGTTCATCTTAGCAATACATAGTTTTATAATTTTTCTTTACCTAATAAAATTATATCTTGAATAACATTTCCTCTCATTCCTGGTGGATGCACAATCTTGGGTGTGACGTCCTTGGGAAGTGACCTGATGCACAAGGAAGGCAGGAGCCCCAAGGATGTGATTTGTGGGAGGAAGGGCTCCGCAATGGGGATCAGAGGCCAGAGAAGCCTCTTCTCGTGGTTTGTGGTATTTCCTGGCATCTCTGATCCTGGGAGTGACAGTGCTGTCCACCCATTCATTGCTCAGTTGGAATGTGAACCCCACCCTGCCCATCCTCACCGCAAACATCACCAGTCCTTGGAAATATTTGCATGTCAGCCTGCTTATTTCCATCCAGTGCCAAGCATCTTCAACTTCCAGTTCATCATTAAAGTAACTACCACAACTATCCCAGTCTCTCTCAGTGTAGAAATTTGGGTGTCATCCCCCACCTTCCTTATCCCCTCACTTCTCAGCATTTACTGCCTCCTGTGGCTCTCCTAGATCTGTCTGCTCACCCTGCTAGTCCAGTCCGCCATTCACTCTCCCACAGACCATCAAGATGGCTTCCTATCAAGTCTCGATTTCCTGAATCCATTCCTACCCCACTCAGCAGTTTTCAGAATGGTGGTTCTAAAGCAGAAATCCGGTCACACTCGCTCCTGTCTAAACCTTTCAGTGGGTCTCTGCCATTCTTGACTTTATTTACAAGATCCTTCAAGAAGCACTAGCCCTAGCCCTAGCCTGAGCCTCAAGCCCCATCTCATGCCGGGGCTGCTCAGGTGGGTGCTGTAGTCATGCTGAATTTCTCAATGGCTTGCTTTCCGCTGGGGTCATTTGCAGGACAGTCCCCTCTGCCCGGAATGCACTTTTCACCCATCCCTAATCCCTTCTTCGAAGCCTCTAGAACAAGTCCTCTGTCCCTGGCTAGCACATTCCTGTCCCTGGGAGGCCCTATTTGAACACCCGCTGGGGCTTGTCACCACACCACTTGGTGCTGTGCTAACAGCCATGCATGAGATTTGAATGCTTGTCTCCCTGCGGCGAGACTGCAAACTCCGCCCCACGCCCCGACTCGTCACGGGCCTTGTCCCGCCCTACACGGAACGCGTGGCTCCGCGGATGCTCAAGGGCGTCGACTGCTGCGCAGTAAGAACTACAACTCCCAGCATGCCCCGGGGCTGGCGGCGTCTGCAGCCCGAGGAGGTTGCCTAGCGACCGGGCGTGTCCCGGAAGGCGGGGCGGGACTTCCGGGGCGGTGGTTGCATCAGATTCTGAGAAGCTGTCGCCGCGGCCGCGGTTCCGGGATTCTTACGATGGCAGGTTCCTCTGGGGAGCAGGGTGAGTGCGCGCGGCGGTCGGGCGGGGGGCACCCTGGGCCTGAGGGCAGCACGTCCCCGGACTAGAGGGGCGACCCCAGGTCTGAGGTCCCCGGACTGGAGGGACGACCCCGGGTCTGAGGTGCCCGGACTGGAGGGGCGACCCCGGGTCTGAGGTCCCCGGACTGGAGGGACCACCCCGGGTCTGAAGTCTTCGGACTGGAGGGGCGACCGCGGGTCTGAGGTCCCGGGACTGGAGGGGTGACCCCGGGTCTGAGGGCTCCGGGTCCCCGAGCTGGAGGGGTGACCCGGGGGCTGAGGGCGGCGCGTCCCCAGGCTGGACGGGGGGAGAGGTGTCGGACGCGTCCCCTGGCTGGGCCGGCGCTCCTCGCACCTCGTCCCCCGCGGGGACCCTGCCCCGGCCTCAGTGCCCTCACTGGGTTGTGCAGAGGTCCTCTTGAGCTCCATCCCTGGGAGGTGGCTCTGTATTTCCTCTGGCTAGTCCCTGGGCCGGATCTCGCCCCCTCCTGTCCCCCTGGATTTGGGGGCCAGGCAAAGCTGGAGGGTTGTTTTGGTTTCCGCCCAGCCGGGGCAGCATCTCGGGGGTGGCCGGAGAGCGCCTAGGCTGACACTTAAGGAAATGGGGCTGAGGAAGTGGCCTCCGCCCACATACACATGAAAGGACTAGGGGTTTTACAGTGCAGCTGCAAACAGTGGCCATTGGGATCTGCCTGGTCAGGGCGTTATTGCCCCACTTGATTGCTGCCCAGGAGGTTCTGTGAGCAGCTCTGGCTCCGCCATCGTGTCACTCATGTCATCAGCAGGTAGACAAGCGCATCCCCAGGCTGACCTCCGAAGAGCACTGGGTCTTTTCCCACTATCCCTCATGCAAGATTGTGCGGGAAAGACCAGAGATTGTCGCTCAGATTCCTAAGTCTGGAGCAAACTTTCCTCAGGAAGAATTAGCAGTGTATAGAGTTTTTATTTTGGCTGGAGAAAATCAGATGGGAGTTTTTCTGAGACACCGTCACCCCCACCCACAGTTGAGGCTGTACAAGGCTTCTTTGGTGCCTTGTTTTTCCCCTTGCTCCCTAGGGTGCGCTGGGGTTCTGGGTAACCTGGTGACTTGGGAGGCACCCAGATGACAGGGCTGCTGTCCCGCACTAGTACCCACCTTCCAGGCACGCTGCATTCCACCGACAGGTGTGCCTGAATTCCAGTGTCGTCTCCACCCACCGCAGAGCCTGGCCGCCCACTGAGTTCACCCAGACTCCTGTAAAAGAGCAGTGTGGTTCACATCCCCGAGTCGGAGCTGCCCGGCTGGGCTGGGGTCCCCACTCTGCCCCTTCCTCACAGTACGGCGGGGGACTCGTCCTCCCTCAGAGGACGTGTGAGCATTAAAGGAGTCAACAGATGTGCAGACTTAGGCCGGTGCCCAGCACAGGGTGGGCATGTATGTCCAAGTGGAAAACTGCAGGATGTTTCTTTGTTGTTTTCTAAGTGAAAGTGTGTTTTTGGTTTGTTTGTGAATATAAATGACATATTGGGGGTGTTTTTATTAATTGCTTCAGAGCTTTAGGTTTTTAGAGCCTTGATAAGAATTGGCCTGCTTTTGGAGATGGACACATAGGTTGGGATTAACCGCCCAGGCTGTCTGGACAGCTGACAGATTTTCCTAGTCTAGACCTTAGGGTAGCATCTTCTAGGCAGTGCTCTGCACCAGGGCATAGCCCACCTGCTCTTTTCCTTTATTGCTGCCCCCACACCCCCTATACACCCTGTCCGTAGGCTTCCCCTCAAAGGCAAGAACGTAGACCATCCTCTGAGGACACAAGAAAAAAAATGAAATGGTAAAGGCTTCATTCATATAGCTCCCGGAGTTCTAGATATTCTTGGTTTCCAGTTTCTGAATACTTTTTATTCCCAAGGTTGGGTTCATCAAAAGTGACCATGTTCCAGACTTTTCAAGGAGGCCCTCGTTTAGAATATTCTTCTTATTTCAGATCAGGTTCCCTAAGTTGACTCAGAACATCTGTTTGGTCCCCTGCGATGACATTGGGTTTACAGCTTCTTTGTAGCTTGAAGGTGCATGGGCATGGCGCCCACTCCAGGGCCCGGTTGTCTTAGAAAGACGAGTCTCATCTCTGAGGACCCCTGGGGTGGAGGGAGCTCGTCTCAGAGGCCTTGCCCTGCAGACTCGGGCACTCGTGGTGGCTGCCTGTTAGGTCAGACTTGAGGTTTAATTTTTTATACAGTTTAATTCATGGAGTCTTCATAATAATACTGCAGCTAGCATTTTTCTTGGCATGAGTCTGTGCCAGGCCCTGCTCTAAATACATCTGTTATTGCCTGTAGTCCTCAGAGCAACCCTTTGTGCTAGATACTGCCCTTATCTTCCTGTACAGGTGAGATTCCTGAGGTTCAGAGAAGTGAGTTGTCCAAGGTGGCACAGCTAGCCAGAGGCGGGGCCAGGCTTCCACCTGGGCAGTTTGACTGGAGCAGGGTCTTAACCACTGTGCTGTGCTGCCTTTTATGATTCTGTTCAGAATAACAACAAGGGCCCCAGTGCCCAAGGGAGTCAAGGTGGACCAGAGGCTAAAGTGGACACGCTTTGCTGTTTCCCAAAGAAAAATGAAATGTCTATACTTACAGACCACAAATATTTGCTCGTCTATGAACTCATGTTTCTCAACATTTAATTTTTAAGAGTCATAATAGATGGTGCCCTTGGGGTGGAGATTAAGCCGTTCCTAGTGTCCATGCTCCACATCCTGGTGCCACCGATCACCTACTTGTCATCGGGGCAGCAGGTTGTGATACTCGTAATAACCAAAGGTCTATGAAAGACACAGGAAAATAAAAATCCCATGTGAAAGCATATCTGCTATTTCATTGGCAAATTGTCACTGAGTGGTTCAAAAAGGTTTACTGAAATAGGTCAGTCACTTTTTATTTATTTATCTATTTAGTAAATGTGCATTAAGCACCTGCTCTGCCAGACACTTGCTCGGCCCTGGAGATACAACAGGTCGAGCGGTCTCGGCCTTCGTGGGCTCTCTGTCCAGAGGGGAACTGGGTAAACAGGTGATGGCAGTGAAGGGCAATGCATGTCTGCTGAGGCATGGTAGTGTTGGGTGGGCTAGCCCTGGACCAGGGAACACCAATGCCTCCGAGGGTTACACAGGCGGGTCCTCTCTTGGTCACTTCCCGGAGCTCCTGCTGCCAGGTGGGCTGCATCCAGCCAGGTGGCTCCAAGCCCAGGCTCCTTCCCTCTGTGCCTCCACGGTCTGCAGAACCTGGGCTTGGTCCTCGCCTGCCAGCCGTCCCACGCGCAGGAGGGAGTGGAGGGAACCACATGAGAGGCTCTCCTGGGCCAGGGCTGGAAGCGGCAGCGGGGGGCTGCAGTCCGCTGGTCGGGCCCAGTCCTGGAGCCTGAGCTGGAGGACTGGGCCTGACGAGTCCCCAGCACTCTGCTCCTGAGGAAGGGCAGGGGCAGGCCCCTGAGAGGCGTGGAAGTTGAGCCTAGAGGAAGAAAGAGGAGTGGGGGTCCTGGCAGAGACCACTGCATGCACTAAGACCTGAAGACGAGGTGGCTGCCGGCAAGTTCCTGAGGCCAGAGGGTAGAGGAGGGCTGGAGATAGGCCGCAAGGCCAAGTCTGCAAGGGCCTTGAGCACATTTTCAGAATTTAGGTCTTGCCTCTGAGTTTTGGAAGGATCGTCTGCCCTCTTCCCCACGTGGAGGATGGGTAGGAGGAGAGTGGACAGAGGCGGGGAGACCAGGAGCCAAGAAGGTGGTGGCCTGGGCCAAGGGCAGCCGTGGGCATGTGGGAAGTGGGCAGGTTCGGGAGGACTGGGATCAGTGCCGGGGGTGATGTGGGAGTAAGAAACGAAGGTGCCCAGGCTTCAGCGCCAGTAGGGAAGATGGCCATGCCATTCCTCGGGACTTGTGCCCAGGTTTGGGGGCAACACATGATGCCTGTCACCTCAGGGGCAGCTGGACTTCAGGGGCTGCTGCTAGGAGAGAGGTGGAGGCTAGAGAGGGTATCAGGAGCCCTGGGCCTGTGGGAGGGGGCCTTGGACTCCAGGAGTGGGCAGCACTGCCTCCAGCTGGATGGGGAGCAGGGGTGCCCGTGGCCCTCCTCCCCGGGATTCGTGTGAGGACAGGATGCATTTGGGAGGCGTTTTCCAGTCCCCTTTCTGAGAGCCACTTGGGCAGGCTGGGAGTCCCCACAGGAAATGATGTGGAGCGGACCCAGGGAGAGGAGCCGCTGTGGAAGGCGGGGTCCCGGAAGCTGCAGGAGCATCTGAGGAAAAGGGAGTGAGTAAAGGGCACAGACCCCAGCAAAGGCTGGCTGGTCTTCAAAACAGAACCCGACCAGCCTGGGAGCTTATAAGGAAGGCAGAGTTGCTGTGAAGGGATCTGCACTTCTGCGAGCTGCCTGGGGCTCCTTAGTGCACCAAAGTTTGAAAGCCCTGGTGCAGTGCAAGGACCCTTGGGGAGCTTGTGTCTGCCCATTGCTGGCGCACCCAGAGGTTCTGATTCCCAAGGTCTCAGGTGGGCCTGGAACGTGCGCCTCTGGGAGCTCACCGCTGCTGCTGAGGCTCCGGGACATACCTGAACGGGCAGCTTAGCTCGGAGCAGAGGAGGGCAGGTGGGTGGGAAGCAGGCAGACTGCAGGTTGTTGAAGGAACCCGGAGAGCAGGTTTCAGTGCTGATGGGAAGGAGCCAGGGGGAGGGAGAGGCGATGGGCTTATCATTTCACACCAGGACTGCGGTTCATTTGATGTGCCTTTGGTTCTTGCGTTTGTGTGATTTCAGTAAACGTCTTAGAAAGACTTCAGCTTCCTACACCGTGGTCACGGTCCGTGTTTAGAACATTCTCAGCATCAGAAGGTGTCTCTCCCATGATATGTTTCTGATTGGAGCTGCAGATTGACCTGACAAGTGGACGTTCCCTCCACATTGACGCCGAGTGGGAGTTTGCTCTCTGCACGAATGTGTGCACAGGCTCCAAGGTGGGGGTCCCCGTCGCAGATGCGTCCCCTGCCTGGGAGCCCTCATCTAATCTTGGCATCGCCAGCCGAGGACCAGACTACAGTCTGGCCCAGAGCCATGACCACTTGAAAGCCGGCCTGTTTGTGTTTGTTTCCTCAAAAACGCTTCCGTGCAGCTGCTGCAATTAGCCCAGTGCCTGTCTGCCTCCGGGCCTGGAAGCCTGTCATCTACCGCTCCCTGGGCACTGTGCCTCCCGTCCTGGGAAGAGCCTGCCCTTTTGAAGGTCTGGGCTGCTCCACAAGGCACATTTTAAATGTGTGTGTAACGCCTGGGTAAACTCCTCCGGGGCAAATACAATAATGATAACACAGGAGTGATTATAATAATAATAATGGTAAACTGGGTGCTAGCTGTGTGCCAGGAGGTATTTTAAACATTTTACAAGTGTAATTTCGCCTAATGCTCAGCGGCTTTACAAGGCGTGTGTTGTTCTGAGCCTGTTTAACCCACCGGAGGAGGCGGCAGCCCCCGGAGTCCTTGCTGGTCCCCACAGGGCAGCCTCCTGAGCAGCTTAGCCGCCTGAAGTTCCCTGAACTACTGTACCAGTGCATTAAAGCCATCTGTAGTTAGAACGTTTTACATGTTTTTCTCATCATAAAAATAACATAAGGTAGAAGATGAGCGGTGGGGAAAAAAGGGAAATAAAACCACCTGTACCCCGCTCGTCAGAGACGGCCAGTGTCAGTGTCGGACGAGTTCTGGGCTGTCTTCTCTGTTCACTGGAAGACATTTGGAGCCGGAGAGTGTCTCTCTGTCTCTTGCTGTTCAGGGCTTCGGGGTGGGTAGGATCTTGATGTTGTTTCTCAGAGTGGTGCTGTCATCTCTTGCTCATTCCCCCTCCCTCCCGTTGCCTTCGGTCCTGGCACAGACAGTTGCACAAGAGAGATGCTCGGAGATAGGGAAGGGAGCGTGTGGGGGCAGCGTTGGGGGAACAGCTTCTGAAGGACAGCCAACCCATCCTGGGATGTGGCCCATGCCCGGCTCTGTCTACACCTCAGGCAGGTCCTCAGATTTTTCTTTAGTGAACTTAATTTTCTTTGTCGTAAAAGAGGAGCGCTGGCAGCAGCCACCTGACAGACTGCCCAGCTGCGGGAGGAGTGTCGCCAGGTGAACAGAAGTTCCCCGGGAGGAAGGTGCTCTGCAGAAGACTTCAGAGAAGTCTGACGTCGATTTAGTTCGGTTTTCCTGGGCACTGGCTTCGGGGTGCCCAGAACTGGCCTGTTGGGTGCCACCTTCCTCTCCCTGGGTTTCATCTTCAGTGGGAAGAGAGCATGTCTTGTCAGAGAGTCTCCACCCTGGTGGCTGTGAGGCGGGGGTCACGAGGGTGGGCCCCCTCCATAGGAGAGTGGGAGGCACAGACCCACCTGGAACTTCCTTCCCTGTCTCAGGCAGACTCGGACACGGGGCCTGTGATGACGGGGCTGCTCCCCATGAGCCCTCGGGCTGGGTCCTTAGAGCCACCTGCTCAGGGAAAGGAAGGAGAGCTGGGGGCGGCAGCTACTCAGGGGCCCTCGTGGGTTCCCCAGGACCTCTGCTGGCACCTTCAGCAGGGAGGGGTCCGCCTCTGGGTCTCCCTTTGCTTCCTTTGACAGTTCCAAGACCTGAAGTGAAAAGTGGCTTGTTCCTCTGGTGGGTCTAGCGTGAAACAGAAGCAGCACCCCCTGGAGAGGTGTGCCTTTGGGCAGCAGGCTCCAGCTGAGCAAGCCATTGGGCCTTAGAAGCAACTCTAGACTCAGCTGGGTCCCAACCCTGGTCCTGTGTGCTGGGGCGCTTCCCGGGAGAGGGCTCATGAGGCCCCAGAATGACAAGTGAAACCCAGCCCATCACGGGCAGTGCTGCACTTTGAGATAACATTCTGCTGCTCGCTCATTCATTTATCCTGCAGATTTATTGAGTGTCTAGAATGTTCCAGGCTTAGTTCTAGATGCTGAGGATGTATGCTGAGCAAATAAAGCAGACCAGAATTACCGGGGACAGGGCAGAGAGTAAAGGAAAGAAAGAAGGACCAAGAATTAGGAATAAGTGTTCTGGAGAGAAGTAAAGCAGGAAGGGGTTGGGACCCCGGGGGCTGGTGGTCATTTGGAACAGTGTCCGGGAAGACCTACTGGAAAAGGAGACACCAGGCAGAGCCTGAGGAAGGGAGGGAGCCTGGCCATGTCTGCGGGAGCATTCTAGGCAGAGAGGGTGGGATGAGAGACCCTGAAAAAGAAGCAGACCAGGCTCTTGTGGGGTAAGCAGGGGCCCGTGTGGCTAGAGTGAGGGGGGCGTGAGTGGGGGCGGGAGCTGAAGTCAGAGAGGCATGGGGGTCCCACATGGGGCTGTCTTGAGGCCGGTGTAAGGACTGGGCTTGTGTGAGGTGGGGGTCCAGAGGAGGAGTCTGTGGTCTCGCCTTCTCAGCAGGGCCGCTCTGTTGTGCAGAGCCAGCATGCCCAAGGAGTGGCCTGCAGCACAGGGGTTCGGTGAGAGGGGCTGGGCCCAGCGTGGCCGCCGTGGTGAGGGGCTGGATTCCGGATATGGTTGGAGGTAGAGGCCCTGGACTGTCCCGTGGGTTGGCCGTGGGGGGTCCTGAGGGTGATTTGTAAAGGGGCATGTGCAAAGAGTAAGACGGAAGGGTGTGGGAAGGAGTGGCACCTTGTGGCCACGTGGAGTGGGTGACTGTCCTGTTGGTGTCAGATGAGATGGGACTCCGTGCTGGAGCTTCCTGGGTACAGTGCAGAGAGAAGCAGGCGGGTCTTTCTGGAAGGCCTTGTGTGAAGCACAGCATCCATTTGAGAGCTCAAGGAAGAGTTTTGCCCTTGGCGCCCACACCCTTCCTGTAGATGAAGAGGTCGGGGTTCAGGACATGTGCGGGAAGCTGGCGTCCCAGAGGCTGGGCCCTGGGGAGTCACCGCCCCTCCCGTGGGGCCGCCTCAGACCATTGGGTAGTTCACTTTGCAGCAGCTTGGAAAACGCTGCTGGCTTTTGTCCTTCTCTTGGTTGGTTCCCGCCCATCCTTGCTGACCCCACCGTGTCTGGGAGGTCAGGTGTTGGCAGGACCTGAGAGGAGGCTTGCCCCACAGTGGACGCAGGTGCAGAAAGGCATTTGTGTGTGCAGCTGCTCCCCCCCCACACACTTTGCTGTCTGTGTTCAGGAGGTGTGTGGGCTTGTTTGGGGTGATTTTCCTGTTCCTGGTCCCGGCAGGTAAACTTTGATGGGGAGGAAGAGGGTCAGAGGAGGGGGCGTGGCTGTGGGTCCAGCACGATGACCCAGTGACCTCATGGTGTCAGACAGCTCGCTCTGAAGGGCTTGGGTGTCAGGGTGTCTGCCCTGTGCCCAGGAAGGGCAGCTGTGCCCGGCAAAGCGAGAGGGGACGGGCCCATCCTTTCCCACTCTGAGCTGACTCCTAGGCCGAATGGGCCCCGGGCTGAGAGGGCATCTGTGTGGAAGGGGACAAGCACAATTCCCTCAGAAAATTAAGCTAAAATAACTGGGGTGAGCGAGGCTTAGATGCTGCTCAGACTCATGGGCTCAGGAACTGGGCTCCTTCCCACAGCCAAAGGGCCTGGTGTGACCCGACTTGCCTCTGCCTCCCTGCTTTGCCGGGGCTGGGTCTGTGCCCCTCCAGCCAGGCTGTGGCCAGGGATGCACACAGCCAGACATTAGTTAAAGCAGTGAGAACAGGTTTTACTTAGTGACTGACAGTAGGAAGAGCTGAGGGGGTCGGATTTCTGCAGAGGCAGGGGTGAGGGGCCAGGTAAAGGGGGGAGGAGGGGGAGGGGAGGGGGAGAGGCCCAGTAGAGTCCAGGGGTGAAAAGTCACAAAGGGGTGGTGAGTGTCAGGGCCTTGTGCCCTTTTCTGTCATCATCGTCGCTCTGAGAGAGGGCAGGCCAGGCCCGTTGTCAGCTGTGGACAAGCACAGCCAGCTCTCCAGGCAGCTTGGGCTATCTCAGGCAGGCGTTTCCGGGGCTGCCGTCCTCCTAGGAGCACAGCCTTCGGCTGCTGGAAGCCATCTAGTGCAGGGGTCTGGACGGGCTCGCTAGGGCCAAGGGTTCTGCATCCTCACCCACCCCCGTGGGCCACCCAGGAACTGGTCAGCACCAGCCCTCCCAAGGCCCAGACCAGAGGTGTGCCTCTGCAGAAAAGGGGTTGTGTGTGTGTGTTTATTTTGAGTTTTTCTTCAATTGAGGTGAAATTCACATAACATGAAATTAACCATTTTAAAGTGGACAATTCAGTGGCATTTAGTGCATTTGCAGTGTGGTGCAACCACCTGCCTTGTCTAGTTCCAGAACACGTTCATCACTCCAAACTGAAGTCACTCCCCGTCAGCAGTGACTCCCCATTCCCCCTTCCCCAGCCCCAGGCAGCCACCCATCTGCGTTCTGTCTCGGTGGACTTGCCTGTTCTGGACGTTTCATATGCGGGAAAGTTGACACCCAGGCCTCTGCGTCTTTCTGGACTCTCACCCAAGGCCCCTGTGCCCCTGACTGACGCCATGTGCCTCTGTCTTTGCAGCTCCCGACTACAGGTGCATCCTGAGCATTAGTGACGAGGCAGCCAGGGTGCAGGCCCTGGACGAGCACCTCAGCACGCGTAGCTATGTGCAGGGGCACTCACTGTCCCAGGCAGACGTGGACGCCTTCAGGCAGCTCTCAGCCCCTCCCTCCGACGCTCGGCTTTTCCACGTGGCTCGCTGGTTCAGGCACATAGAAGCGATCCTGGGCAGCCCCCGAGGCAGAGGCGAGCCCAGTGGGCTCCAAGCAAGTGAGTAGCAGAGTGGCCTTCCCGGCCGTTAGAACCTCTCGCAGCGGCAGCCACCTCTGAGGTCAGGGCCTTCCTCCATTGCCCCGTGTGTGGCGCTGGTGGCAGCGGTGCCCTGGAGGAGCCCACAGCGCTGGCTCCTGTCACCGCGTGCGAGCAGGGGGCCCGCTGGGCTGACCAGTGCTCCCTGAGTAGAGGTTAGAAGCTGACTCTGGAGGAGCAAGACTCCCTGCGGTCACTGTCGCGGAGCTGCCTGGGGGCGAGTGCAGAGCCCGGGACCCGTGCCGCCCAGGGGTCCAGCAGGGCCGGGCCGCGTGCTCCTGCCTTGGCATTTTCCCCTAACCCCTTGCCTGGCTTGATTTGACTTGGTTCTTTTTGTTTATTCTTTCCATAATATTGCCGTGTCTTTGTCCGCCAGATTTAGGATTGTTAAATCCTAAAGCAGTATTAATTGCTTTGAACTTGCTGAAAATCAGAAATAAGTCATTTGTCGGCTTTGAGATGAAATCATTGCATGGCTTTCGCTCCATCTGGGGAGTGCTGGTGCGTCTGTGCCAGCGTGGCCCCAGTTGTCTTGGGGGTGCTTCTGGAGAGTCAGGGCTCAGTTCACGTCATCTAATGAGTCATCCAAGGGTACTTCCTCCATGACGGCCCGATGCCCTCAGACAGCTCAGTCCTGCCCGGGGCTTTGGGCACTCCCCACCTTCACACAGGGGGTGGGTGCATGCTGTCTCTGGTCCCCGCTGGACTGGGCAGCCCCCTGGGGGCCTTTTCCAGACTCCTGCAGGTGGGGCATGTGGAACATTCCACAGCGCCTGTACTGCTGGCCCGGTCCGCTGGTCCCCCTGCCGTAACAGGCAGAGATGGGGTATCCCTTCTCTGAGGGTAGGGGTGTGTTTTGGTTTTCTGGATAATCCTGCAGGAAGAGGATTGCAGCATAGGGTGGGAGCATTGCCCTGTAGGTCATCTTCTCCCTGTGGGTCCAGCACAGTGACCCAGGTGACGTCTTGGTGTCAGGCACGTTCTCTCTGAAGGGCTCAGGCGTCAGGTTGTCCCCCTAGGTCCCAGCTCCCATGGCACAGCCTTCGAGGGCAGAGATAAGGGAGAATCTGAGGCTCGCCACCTTGGCAGTGGCCTGTCTGATCTTCCATTGAGGGAGCTTGTTGCAAGACTGATGTTGACACACGTCAGCTTCAGGATCAGGAGATAAAAATGAGTCTGTGCTTCTGCAAATGCCTTTAACCCCGGAAAGGAAGGCCACTCGAGGCGTAGCGACACCCTGCTGATTCACGAGGCTGCTCCAGACAGGCTCAGGCAGGTGGAGGGAGGCACCTGGGCGGCATGGATACGATTATCCTGCCTCTTTCCATTTCCAAGTCCCTTCGTCACTGGTGCCACCTAGGAGGCCACCAGGGACCTTTTGTGCCCAGGGGATGGCATGTGTTAGGTCGGCCAGCTGGCCTGCAAGCTGGGGCTGGGGCCTGGCACTGCTGCCTGTCAGCCTGTGCCTCCAGCGGGTCCCAGGACCCTCAGAGTCCGATGTCCACGTCCCTGGATGGCAGTAGCCGAGCGTCTGCCTCCCCACGTTGCCGCCAGAATCGGAGCAGCTGCCCGTCTCAGACGTCTCTGAAGTCCTGTCCTGGGTGGGAAGGCCACCTCTTCCAGCCCCTCGCTCCCCAGTGCCCCGTCTGCCTTCTCTCCGAGTCCCTGCTCCTGCTCAAGAGTCCTTCCCTGCTGGGCATCCTGTCAGCACCAAACATCATAGCTTGTCACCTTCCCCTCTGCTGACCCCCCAGTCTGAGTCCCTGTGCCTCCCTCGTGCCTTCCGTGTTCTCTCCCCTGGGCCATGGGCCTCAGTAGCCCGAGGGACCTTCTCAGACACAGAAAGACCACAACTCTACCTAAGCCCCTTCCCAGGACGTGGGCCTGCCCCTGCCCCTCTGTCCCTTCTCCTACCCCCTCCCTGCCTCGTTGCCTCCTTTCTGCGGCCCCAGCAGGGTAGGTCCACTCCACTCAAGGCCCCAGCCTTGCTGAGTCCTGTGTCCCAGAGAGGGGCTCAGCCCAGATGGCCCCTCCTCCCAGGGGCTCTCTGCCACCCGCCACTCCCGTCCCCACTGGAAGGAGCCTGAGAGCGTGCTCAGAATCCCCAGCAGGTGTGGGTCCATCTGATGCAGGGGCCACGTGTGTAGGAATAGAAGCGTTCAGTGCTGCTCTCTCCTCTGTGGCCGACAACCCTACGTCCCTGTGAAGTCCTTCTCCTCCCTCCCTCCATGGCAGGGGCTGTTAATTGTGTGAGGGAACTCTAGTGAAAGTGTTTTCCTATTAAGTCAAAGGTCCTTGTGTAGTAGTTCCCAGTTTTCCCCTTTTGAAAATAGGAATTTGTATATGCCAAATTTCCTTGAGCCCGTCACCAGCTGTGCGGCAGTAGCAGCCCTTTGGGGAGCTAGAAAGCCTGAGTGTGCCCAGTGTCCTGGACCGTGTCCCGCTGGCCGGGCTCTCTGGGCTGCGCCCTCAGCTGTGTCCTGTCACCAGCTGTCTCAAGTCTTCTCGGATGGGCCTTCAGTCCTGTGAACCCCGAGCCCTTCCTGCTTAACAGGATGGTTGCTGGTGGTCGTCTGGTTGACATCAGTGTGTGTGGCAGCTCTGGCCGGCGTCCCCTGTTGTCCCAGATGGAGTTACAGTGTCTAAGTGAGGGAGGGGATTGATGGAGTCATAAAGCGGCAGACTGAACGTCATCACACCGTGGACTGTGAGTTTCCTTCAGGGGCATTTGCTGCGTTTAAAATGAACCTCTAAGACTCGTACCTGACCTCAGTGAGCATTTGGTGTTTCAGTAAGAACTTGGGCTTTGCCAGGCAGTAGAACCTGTGAGTTTGCCGGCACGCACCCCAAGTAAGGCGCTCCTGTTTAGCGCTGCCTGTCTCCCTCTCTCCCCGTTTGCCTGCCCCTCTCCTTGTCCGCTGGCTCTCGCAGGCACACACACCGGGCACGCATGCGCGCGCGCACACACACAGCGCACACACAGCAGCTTCCTCCTCCTCACCCCTTCGCCTGTCCGTCATGCACATCCTCTGTCTGGCTGACGTGACCGTGGGCAAATGGCCGAGCCCAGGACTGGCTGCTCTGTGACTCCTGGTGGGAGGCAGCGTGTAGCAATCCGTTGGCTGCATTCAACATCGATTCGAGGATGCTTGTGCAGGGTCTCACCTGTTGGCAGACTGTCCACATGAAAGAGAATCCCTCTGCAGACAGAGGCAGCGGTGGGGCCGGGATGGACCCAGAGAGGGCAGCTCGGTGAGCTGGGGATGCAGGCAGTGCCGAGGCCTCCACCTCGGGGGCCCGTCCTGGGGCGGGCGTGGCGCAGCAGCCGTGCCTTCGGTTGTGCACAGCGGAGGGGGACAGCTGGGTTCGGGGTGCAGCTGGGTTCGGGAGTGGTTGAAACGTCACAGACAGCCATGGGGTGGGAATAATCACCTTCTTGGTTAGCACAGACTGTTTAAAGACTGCCTTTGCTCAGCTGGAAACTTGGGCCTGGGGGCCTGCAGAGCAGCAGGGCAGCCCCTAAGACTCGAGGACGGGGGGTGGCCGAGAAGGAGGAGACCATAGTAGTGGCAAGAGCAGGAGGAGAGTGAGGCTGCCAAGAAGAAGGTGATGGATGAGGTCTGACTCCATGAGCCCCTGAGGACCAGTGTGGGGAGGACCCTGGGCTGTTTCCAAAGGTGGTCCAGAACCCATGTGAAGCCCAAACATGAGTGTCTGCATCAGGATCTTGTTAGGGAGCCGCCTGCATGCTGCAGGGCACGGGGGACCAGAACTGAGTGGGGAGCCAGCCACTCTCTTACCCACGTCTGACAGAGATAAGGGGCTGGCGGCTGTTCTTACTGACTTTCTGTGGCCCTGAGCCAGCAGCTGTTTCTGACCTGGCCTGGCAGTGGCCTATGTTCCACGAGGCCTCCACGAGGGCTGTCTTCCCGAGTTATATACTGCGTTACACTCCAGCAGTGTGAGCCGCGTGTTTGCAGGGCCCGCGCCTCCCTCTGACCCACAAGCTGTGTCCAGCGCTCTGCACACAGAGGGAGCAGGAGGGCACGTGTCTGAAGACCAGCGGGATGCAGCGGGCACGGACACCTCGTGCAGGCGCTGTCATGCCGTGCTGGCGTTTTGGGGTTGTTGTAGGATTCATTGCTGCCAGAGTGTGACGAAGCAAAATAGAGAAGCAGTTGCATTTGACAAGGGTGTTGCTGGCAGAGATTTGCGTTAATGTTGTTTCATGTTTCGCTGAAAATAATATTTCCATCGTAAAAACCAAGGTGCAGTGTGACTTGCGTTTCCCGTGACCCAGCTGCTCTTCTGCCCTCGCAGGTAAAGGCCGGCGGGTGCAGCCTCAGTGGTCTCCTCCCGCCCGGTCCGAGCCGTGCAAGCTGCGCCTTTACAACAGCCTCACCCGGAATAAGGTAAGGAGGGATCACGGGGGCGGGGCCAAGACGGCTCTGTCAGAGCCCCACGTACGCTCTAAAACACAACACTGTTGTCTGTTCATCCTGGCGGGCCCTGGTGTGCCATCACTCCGGGTCTGAGATCCCTCAGCTACTCACCACGTGTTCTCTGTGTGGCCCGAGGCAGAGCTGTTGTCTGACACTGGACACACTCATGTCACGCCTCACAGGGACACCTGCCCATTGGCGTGTAGGCGGGGAGCACCCTGAGTAGGCTCTTGAGCCCTGCCCAAGGGTAAATGCTCATGGTCTTTCAGAGCCGAGCCAAGTGGTGGCATACTTTCAGAGAGGACACGTGGTGGCAGCAGATGTCACAGTGCAAGCCAAGCAGAACTGGCAGCACGGCGGACCTGTTCAGTGTTGCTGGGAGCTGAGCAGGTTTCGAGCAGGTTTTGAATGGGGTTTGCTTGGTTTGTTCTGCTCAGCATGGCCAGTGGCTCCAGAGATTTCCAGCAGGGCTCCAGCCGTGGGCTGATTGGATGTCCCTCAGCAGGCACACTTAGCAGACAGGGAGACAGGGTCTCCCTCATGGACCTGGTTGAAGACAGCAGCCCCTGAATTGGTCCGACACTGTTGGACCATTCAGCTGGCGGTGTGGAGAGCAGCTGCGCACAGCACCTTGATTGAGCGGTCCTGGCCTCTGCGCCAGGCTCCTTCTGGGGCGTGGACCCTGGTCAGCTGCTCAAAACCCGTGTCTTCATCTATGAAAGGAAAACAGCAGCACCTACCTCCTCTGATTGTTTCTAGGAGCAAGTGTGGGTCAGCCTAAGTGCTCAGCCCAGGGCTTAGGTGCTCCATCAACGTTAGCTGCTGCTGCTGTTGGTAACTAAGCAGCATTCCGACAAAAGCAACCGCGTGCCTCTCTTCCACCACCAGCCTCCTCTGAGGAGCGGAAGCCCAGGGAGGAAGAGGGCTTCCTCGTCCGCGGGAACCTGGCATCGAGAGTCTAATTGGGATCCCCCTCCCCCAGACTTTGTGACTTCTTTTAGTTAAACAGCAATCTTTGCTGGATTTTATATAAACCAGCAAACCTCAGTGGGCTCTTTGTGGCTGGTTGGGGTGGTCCTGCGCAGCGCCTCTTGCATTTCTCGTAACTGTCATGCCTTCATTTCTAACAAAGGACGTGTTTATACCTCAAAATGGGAAAAAGGTGACATGGTATTGCTGTGGGCCGACCGTCTACGACGCATCTCACATGGGGCACGCCAGGTAGGGCCCGTGGCGGGGGGTGCACACGGGCGGGGCCCCGCAGGGAGCCTCTCAGCTCCTGAGCCCTCATGGGAAAATCAACCCTGAACTTTTTTCTCTTAATTTCAAGATAGAAATTTTCATTTCATAAGAATCCATATTCACTGTAGGAAAATAAGAGTATACTGACAGCCGAGAAACACAGCACCTCGCAGCCCTGTTGTTGATATCCAGGGCTGTACCCACACACTTTTTTCTGTGTACCTTAAAGTTTTCCTCATCCTGCATCCAGTGGGATGTTTCCCAGACACTTCGACCTGAGGCCGAGTGGGTGGTGACCTCATGGTGGTCTCAGGGTGTCATGTATTAAGAGCAGCTGGCGGGCTGGCCCCGTGGCTTAGCGGTTAAGTGCGCGCGCTCCGCTGCTGGCGGCCCGGGTTCGGATCCCGGGTGCGCACCGACGCACCGCTTCTCTGGCCGTGCTGAGGCCGCGTCCCACATACAGCAACTAGAAGGATGTGCAACTATGACATACAACTATCTGCTGGGGCTTTGGGGGAAAAAAAATAAATAAATAAATAAGAGCAGCTGGCTGTGGGGGAAATGCCACAGAATCCTTTTCCTTGTTCGTGTGTTAATTGCAGTGCCAAGATGATGGGCAGAGTGCACCCTTTGGAAAGGTGTGTCTTTTCATTGCTCTAGGTCCTATATCTCCTTCGATATCTTGAGAAGAGTGTTGAGGGATTACTTCAAGTTTGACGTCTTTTACTGCATGAACATCACAGACATTGATGATAAGGTAAGGGGAGTTTTCAAGATTAAATTTTAAAAACAAGGGATGAGGGGCTGGCCCCATGGCCTAGTGGTTAAGTTTGGCATGCTCTGCTTCAGTGGCCCGGGTTTGCAGGTTTGGATCCTGGGCGCAGACCTACACCGCTTGTCAGCCATGCTGTGGCAGTGACCCACGTATAAAGTAGAGGAAGATTGGTGCAAATATTAGCTCAGGGCTAATCTTCCTCAGCGGAAAAAAAAAACAAACAATGGATGATAGAAAGGAAGGCATGACTTTTGAATAAGTAGATAAAATAAGGTAGGCTTGAACTAGCTCAGGGCTTGACCTAATAAATATTATATGGAAACCCCTCAATGAATTAGTATGACAGTTTATGCAAACGATGTTATCATATTTTCAGATGTTTAGATGCTATTGGAAACCTGCATGTTCTGGGTCCAGGTTGATTAAATGTTAATACCCCATGGGGCTTCGCGGAAGGAGGATCTGTGGGAGCATGTAGTTTTGTGTGTGGCACTGCATAGGAAGCTGGGGACCGGCGTGTTTCTTCCACATCAGAAAGGTCGAAGTAGAATAGTCTTCACCGGAAGGTGTGGCCCTCGGGCCCTGCTGGGTAGTTGGGAGATGGAGGGTGGTGTTCGTGCTCATCAATGGCGTCCACGGCTGGGGCCCACGGTTGCCCCTCAGTCACAGATATGAGGGCGGGCTCTGGCCGTAACCCCACGTTTTCCCTTTGCTCTTCCCAGATCATCAAGAGGGCCCGGCAGAACTACCTGTTTGAGCAGTATCGGGAGCAGAAGCCACGGGCAGCACAGCTCCTGGAGGACGTTCACACCGCCCTAAAGGTGGGCCCCTCGCTGTCTTCTCCTTGACTCCTGGTCTCGGCCCTCGGCCGTTCCTTGTCACTGTCCCTAGAGTAGTGGCTGTCCTCGGTAGGCCTCACAGAGTGTACGGCACTAAAGCCAGTTCCATCAGGGGTCACCAAAGTCTTGATTGACGTGGTCCCCCGGCCCCTGGGAAAAGTCGCCAGGAAAGACACGCATGGACGGGGGTGTGGATCAGGGGACTCTTCCTGCCACTAATGGGAAGATGTCAGGATTTGTCACCATGCTGCTGATCTACACTTACCTGTAAAATGCTTCTAACATTGCTATCGATTCTTCCACATGAGGTCACAACCAAGTCAAATACTTTTGACTGAGATGGAGAAGCTGTGCCAAGCTTCTTAAATTGGTAATAGTGGAAATTTTCAGTATTATTTGGAGAAATTAGTTCTTTCAAATTTAATATTTTAATTTTGAAGAAACAGTGTTACAAATTATTGTATTATGTAGTCAGATTAGAATAAGTCATTTTATTCTTTTCAATAATTACCATCTTTAGCAATTACAGTAATAATTACTGGTGTGCTTATAGCGTTTTGTCTCTGAAAGAAAAAAATAGGAATAAAATTAGAGCTTAGCAATCTTTTAGGCCAACAAGGCGGGGCCCACTAGGCTGTGGTGCCTTCGTGATGGCGGTGGCTGGCGGCGCCTCTCAAAGTCCCTAGATGACATCTCATGTAGTCCCCAGCGCAGCCTCAGGGGTGCTGCTCTCACACCCACTTTACGCCAGAGAAACAGAGGTCATGTGCCCTGCCTAGCGTCCTGTGAGGAGGCCACAGCGCCAGGACTGCCTGGCTCGGGGGTGGCACTCTCTTTGCTACCGCCCTCCCGCTTGGGAGAGCTAGGATGACACTCTCAAAGACACACACTTCTCTGTGGCGGCACGCAGTGGGAAGAGCTGGTCTTTTCTGCGTTGAGTCCCCTTTGAAGGCAGGGTTTGCTGGGCGGTGTCTTATAGGATTGACACCTCCTTGTGGTTGTAGCCGTTTTCAGTAAAATTAAACGAGGCGACGGATCCCGACAAAAAGCAGATGCTCGAACGCATTCAGCACACGGTGACGCTTGCCGCAGAACCGCTGGAGAGGGCCGTGCAGTGCGACCTTGCTGGAGAGGAGCTGGACAGCCGTGTGGAGGTGAGATCTGAAATGAGTCTGGCCAGCCCTCTGTGTTACTGAGGCTCCCTGCACACGGGGTTGAATCTGTCTCAGATTACCACACCCTGCGCCCGGCCATGACGGTGCTGAGGCCTGACGGTAGCCGGGTCAGGACCCCTGCCCTCCACCCCCACTTCCCTCGGATAAATAGGGGCACACTTGGCATGTGTGGGGGAGCAGCCTTCTCTGGACATTATTCCAAGGTCACCCAGTGGGCTCCCCTGGTAGTTCTTTTTTTTTTTTTTCTTTTTTTATGAGGAAGATGGGCCTTGAGCTAACATCTGCCAATCTTCCTCTTTTTGCTGAGGAAGACTGACCCTGGGCTAACATCCATGCCCATCTTCCTCCACTTTATGTGGTACGCTGCCACAGCATGGCCTGACAAGCATTGGTGCGCGCCCAGGATCCGAACCAGTGAACCCCGGGCTGCCACAGCGGGGCGCTCGCACTTAACTGCTTGCGCCACCAGGCCGGCCCCTCCCCCGGTAGTTCTTAATGGCAGCTCCTGGAGAGAAAGGAGCGAGAGATTGAAGTTGAAATGAGCTGTGGGCCCCGGGGTACCCTCCTGAACTCGAGACCTTCCCTTTGGCCACTCTTCTGCCTCCGTGAAAGGCCTTCCTTCAGACAGACTTGAGGGCACCGGGTACAAAGGGTGCCTGGGCCTCTCCTTCCGGGCTTCTCCTGCCTGAGCTGCCACACAGGACGGCTGCACAGCCTGGCCTCGCCTGGGCTGCAGCCTGCACCCCGGGATGGGCAAGGTGGCCTTCTCCTTTACGCCAGTGCCCCCTGCTGGTCACCCTCTTCAAAAGTCAACGGAAACGAGAAACCTGCAGACGAGAGGCAGTGAGGAGGCTATAAGTCCTGAAGCGGTGTAAGGAACTGCGCACACAGGAGCCTGTCCACTTCAGTTTGCCTCCTCTGTGGCCTCACGTGAGGGATTGCTTGGGAGTGCTTGTTCTGAGCTTTATGAAAAGCAGTCAGGTCTTCCTAGCCTTGGGGACCAGCCCTTTCACTTGGGGTGTGCTTCTGAGATGGGGCTGTCCTTAGTTCAGTGGATGCCTCATCCCTTCTTCCAGGACGGTGGAGATGCTCCCTTGTACCCAACAATGCTGCCGTGAATTTTTTCCCAATTGTTCCACTAATATCTTTTTTTAAAAATTGTGGTAAAGTATGTGTAACATAAGATTTAGCATCTTAACCATTTTTAAGCGCACAGTTCAGTGGCATGAAGCACATTCACCTTGTTGTGCAACCATCACCTCCACCTGTCTCCAGAAATTTTTTCACCTTCCCAAAATGAAGCTCTGTCCCCATTAAACACTAACTCCCCAACCCCTGGCACCCACCATCCTATTGTCTGACTCTATGAATTTGACTTCTCTAGGGACCTCATGTAACTGGAATTACACAGTGTCTGTCCTTTTCTGACTGTCTTACTTCACTCGGCGTATTGGCCTCAAGGTTCATCCATGTTGTAGCAGGTGTCAGAATTCCTTCCTTTCTAAGGCTGAATAATATTCCGTTGTACACATATACCATATTTTGTGTATCCATTCATCCATCGATGGACACTTGGGTTGTTTCCACCTCTTGGCTGTTGTGAATAATGCTGCTGTGAACATGGGTGTACAAAGATCTGTTTGGGTCCCTGCTCTCACTTCTTTTGGGGATAGACCCAGCAGTGGGATTGCTGGATCATATGGTAATTCTAGTTGTAATATTCTGAGGAACCGCCATACTGTTCTTCACAGCAGCATGAGGATTCTAGTTTCTCTCCACATCCTCGCCAACACTTGTTATTTTGTTTTACTGAGAGTAGCCATCCTAACGGGTGTGAGGTGGTATCTCATTGTGGTTTTGGTTTGCATTTCCCTAATGACCTGTGGTGTTGAGCATCTTTGCATGAGCTGTAAGTTGTTTTCTATTTGTCTCTGGGTGCACATTTGCAGGAATTTCTTTAGCCTGTATACCTGGGGGTGGAAATGCTGGGCTGTAGGGGCTGGGTAACTTTCTTGGGGGTCACCAGCGCCACCCACACGTTCTGTGATTCTCCGGAAGGATTCATAGGATTCAGCATAGAGTTGTCTTCACATGTAAGGTTTATCACAGGAATGCAGCCCGGGAAGAAGGCTCGGGTGGGTCTGGAGGAATCCATAGGCCGCCTTCTGAAGCTGCCTCCCTTCCTCCCATGAGGGGACAGAGTATACTCCCCCCCAATGGGAGAAACGGTGCCTCTGCACATGTGAAGTGTTTCTGCACAGGGAGGCCATCAGAGCCTCAGCACCCAGGGTTTTACTGGGCACTCTCACGTAGGCACTGCCCCCTGGCACGAACCACAGCTCCTGAATCCCAGAAGGAGAGCAGGTTAGTGTTCTGAGTAAGCCACCCTCTTTGCACAGACACCCACAGAGCGGCTGCCGCAGGGCAGGGTGTCCTAGCCTCTCAGCACAGGGGCGTTCAGTTCCAGACACAGCCAAGGACCAATCTGGCCAGCAGGCCTTTCTCGGGGCAGCAGCTGGGGCCTGCTGTACAGTAACAGTTCACTAAACAGCTGTGCAGATGTGTCCAACTCCTAACTCAGTTCCAGTGTTCTGTTAATTTGCATAAGCACCAGCACTTCATATTGTCAGAGTCTTTCCTTTTTATCAACGGAATGTAAACTGTAAAGTGGTAATTACTGGGGTGTGAATTTGCATTTCTCCAACCTCTCTTGAGGCTGCGTATCTTTTCACATGTGTACTTGCCTGTTCTGTGCACCGGTCCTCTCCATTTTTCCTTGGGCTATTTGTCTCTTTCTTACTGGTTTGTAAGAAAGAGACAAACCAGTCTCTCGACCCTAATCCTTTGTCATTTAAATGTGTTACAAACACTTTCTCCCAATTTATGGCTTTTCTTTTCACTTTCTTTTAATAACAGAGGGTCTTTATTTTAATATAATCAAATTTATCAGAGTTTTTTTTATACATAGCATTTTTGTGTCTTAAGAAATCTTCCCTACCCTGAAACATAAAGATATTCTCCAATATTTTTTTGTAAAGATTTTAAACTTGTACAGTTCACATTGAAGTCTTCGATTCCCTAGAATTAGTTTTTGTAAGTGGTGTGAGTAGGAATCCAGTCCCCCCTAAGCCCCCATATGTGGAAAGCCCTCCTTTCCCAAGGGTCTGCAGTGCCTGCTCTGTTACATGTCGGGTTTCTGTGTGCGGGTCTCAGTTCTGTTCCGGTGGTCAGATGATTCACCTGCATGGGTGTCTCGATGTCTGTCACTGATGTCTGGTAAGGTAAGAGGCTTTATCTTGTTTTTGTTCTTCAGGTGTCTTTTGAATTCTCCTCAGCTTGTTGAGTCTCATGCAAGACACTGTTGGGATTTTATTTTATTATTATTATTATTATTATTATTATTTTATTTTTGTGTGTGTGTGTGTGTGTGTGT